AGGTTCCATTTTTTGAGGGAGCAAGTCAATCAAGTGAAGCTTGAAGTCGCTTACTGTAAATCTGAGGTTCAGTTGGCAGATATTTTTACCAAAGCATTAAAAGGGGAGAGGTTTAGGTATATGAGACAATCTATTGGAGTTGTAAAACCTGTTTGACTTAAGGGGGTGTGTTAGAAATAAGTCAAAAACTGAAAACAGTTAATACTGTTTTACGTTGCTTTCATTTTTCTGTTTCTGTACTGTGTATAAATACGTTCTTTCATCTTCTACATAAAGTACGTGGGTTTCCATTTATTCTTCTGCATGCATGTATAGTTTCTATAATTCATACATATATAATATGGTGTATATGAGGTATTATCTTATTTGGAATTTGTGTTCATTAATATATGAACTATTGTTTGTTTTAGATTTATATTAGTCATGATTTTTTTTTTAATGAATTGAAAAAGGAAAGTTAATATAAATTAAAAAAAAATTATATTTTTGTTTTGATAAGTTTATTTTCTAACTATTTCTTACATTAATTACTTTTTTATTCCAAATATTTCTAATTAGTTTACAATTTTTGTTAATATTATAAATATTAATAAAATTAACAAATTCTCTCTCTTGTGAAGATATAAACTATCATATATTAATCGATTAAGTGAAAAGTATTAACTATAAAGAGAGATTACAAGTTACAATTAGTTTATTTAATTATTAGCGTTAAATTAGTTTTAAAGTTATACATGATACTTTTACTCTCTCGTTGTTAATATATTTATTAATTTATTTGTTATACAATGTGAATAAATAGGTTTAGCGAAATTAGACTCAAGATCAAGATATTAATGTATTTTATTTATTATTTATTAAATTTAGAGAAGTGACTGGTAATTTAAGGTCCTCTTAAAAATACTTGAAAACGTTTGTTTCAGAAAAGTTTTTACATTTTATGAAAATGTGAATGTTTATTTATAGAAGTTATATTAAAGTATTTCCAGTTAGGTTTTATTCTCGAGAAAATTATAACATTTTATTTGTAAAGTTTTTTATTTTCGTGCTGAGAGGTGAGTGAATTAAATTCCATGCGATGAGAAGAAGGAATTTTTTTTATTATTTCAAATAGTTTAAAATTTAAAAAGTATTTTCAGAATAAAAGAAATAACCTAACGTATTTACACATGTCCAAGAATAATTTTCCAACCATATTATTCCATGAATTATGCTCTTAAAATATAAAATCATACGCTTGAAACAAGATGTTCCAATTGATGTATGAGACATTTTAACTTAATTCTTATAAAAATGATCCAGAAAAACTTTAAATTTAGTTGTTATAAATAGAATAAGAAGAAAATTATAGTTTTAACAAATTTAGTGTTACAAATGATTTTACACTTTAATTAATAATGTATTATCATGTAAAGTTTAATAGATTTTACAATTAAAAATTCATATAACAATTACTTTATTCAGTTCTTAAATAATATATACTTTGTATACATATAAATAAAATTGATATAATTATTTATATTTCTTCTATATAATTATATGTGAACAATATTTTTAAAATGAAAAGAATAATATTTTATTTTTTATGCTGAAAAGATAGTCCACGTTTCGCGTTGATAGAGTTGGGGACGTGGGACACAAGAGAAAAATGAAACCTATTTTACTTTTTAGGAAAAAAATGAGACCGAATTGCAGGTCACGTTTTTTTCGTTTCTATGTCAAACTTTTGAAAGAAAATACTCAATGAGTTTAAAAAATTTATTAATATGTGGATATACCATGAAAATTTATCCGTCGTGAAATTCTAGATTGACAGGATGATATTATAATATAATAATTTAATCATTATTATAGGATTAAATTTAATATTTTTCTATTTTTAAAATAATTTAGAATCAATTTCATTAATATTAAGATTATTAAAAAATATATATTAGAAAAAAGTGATGAGATGAAAAATTATGTTTAAAATAAAAAATATGATAAATTTTTATATTTATATTATAATATATAAATAAATATAATTATAATATTTCAGTTTGATCTCAATTATGATAATTAGGTTCAATTTGTATATTAATAATGATAATTAAGTTTAATTTTTATATTAAAATATTATTTATTTTGGATCTTTAATTTATTATCTTTTTGTTTGTACGTTATAAGTTCGTAGAAAAAAATAATAAAAAAATAATATATATATATATATATATATATATATATATATATATATAAATTTTCGCCATTTTTAATTTTTAAACGATATGAATATCTTATTACAATCAAATATATTTTATTATTTCTAAGATATATAGCACAATAAAATTTATATGAATAGTATTTTTTTATCATAATTTTAGATAAATTATGTGACTCGTTTAAAATATTTCCGAAAATATTATAAACTTTCACCGTTTCAAGGATTCACGACAAGCATATTTTATTTTTTATTTCTTTTAGAAAAATAGAGAAAGAAAATATAAAAGAATTATTGTGAACGAAACAAGGGGTCCAAATTTTAGGAAAAAAAATCATATAACTTCTACGATTTTATCGTGATGAAAATACTTTGATAATAGAAAAATAAGTTAAGAAGATAAGAATATAATTTTGAAATTATAAAATTAAAAAATATATATAATCATTATTTAATATTAATCAGATAATAACATTAAATAAAAAATTTATAAGATTCTAATATCATGTGATTCTAAATACATTAATATTCTATAAAATAATAATTTAAATTAAATTTCATGATATTTTATTATAAGAATATAAAAAAAAAGTTAAATACAAATTAGAAATATTTTTTAAATGAATATCAGAAAATTATGAATTTTAAGTGTATTATATAGTTATTATTACATATTTTATTTCTTATCTTAGTTAATATGAGATTTAAGATGGATTATATTTGATAGTAGAATTGAAACTAATTGAAAGCAAGTGCAAAAGCTATATATTTTTTTTACAATAATTTATGTTATCATCTATAGAATCTATGTAACCACGCCTACCATATCCAATTCCCCATGCCTACTTAATATTAGTATCTATGGATCTACCAAATTGAACGAAGAAGGTATAACCCAAAAAACCTTCAACAACTTTCAAGGAGCTATAACAAACAAAATCTCATCTTTACTGTAAGTTTCAAATTAAAATCATAATATTCCTGTCACTATGTGAAATAATAGCAAGGCTTTTTATTGGCCAAGCATAAAAGTAGTCACAGAAAAAACACAATAAGAACAAATGAATAATTATTAATAACAGAAAGATAAGAATGTTTAAAATTGCAATGAATAAATTCTAAAAAGGTTTTAGAAGATATGATACTTAAACAAAAAAAACTCTTAAATTGTCTTTTTAGTACATTGACGTGTTATAGTGTATGATATTTTATTTCTGGGCAGTCACAATCATATTTAGGTATCTTATACTCAAAATTGAACGTTAACGATTTTTATATATGAATTGTCCTTTTAAAACCAGTTACGTACAGTCAAAATCCTATACTTGTTGGAACTTTCAAAGCATGCGTATATTCGCATCATCTTGCAATTGTTTTTATTTTTTATTTTATTGGTGGAAGAGACAACATGAAAAGCTTTTACATTTCATTTTCAACTCTCTTTTTATTTTTCAATTTTTTTTATAAATCATTTATAACATTTGTTTCTGTTCTTTCCCTTATCATTTGATTCCTCGTGTTTTTTTTTTTCAGAACTGATTAAAGCCCACTCATTGGGCCTAATTGTCTAATATTGGGCCTTGATGCTTAATAACTCCATTCGTACGCTGATAGACTGGGCCTCCATATTAGATCTAGAGTTTTTAATTACTTATTTTGTTACTATTAATTGCTAAACTAATGAAGCGTAGCTAGTTTAACTTGGATTTAATGGTGGCCCCAAAGTAAGCTTCGATTGAATTAAACTTTACACACCGCACTAAAATTATTATTTTCTATATAAAATATGTTTTGTTCAGCAACTCATCGCAAAAGTTGTGGGGTATGTTTATGCGCAATGAGAATGTTTGAAACATATCCTTATTAATTAATATTTTTTGAATTAGCACTTCTTCGATAATTCTATATAAAGTCAAATACACAAGTAAATTTTAGTCATATACAGAGTAATTATAAATAAATAACTTAATTAAATTGAGTATCAATATTTATTAGTGGTTTATTTGCGTTTTGTATCGATGTCTTCTCTTCTACGATGTTCCTTGTAGTGGTGTTTGGTAGTGCCAACAATGCCACTTTACTTTGAACTTGTACGACTCGTAGTTTTGGAAATCACAGTCGTCATAATTTACAGATTAAATTATTGTTTAAGTCCCTCTTTTTATTTAACTTTTTCAAATTTATTCATTTATTATATTGGAAAGATTAATTTTATCATTTACGGCAGTACGAATATGACTTTTTCGTCAATATTGTTTTATAGCAATGTTATCATTTTCTTCTAATTAACATTATAAGTATTAATTATTAGTTAAAAAGGTAAGAAATTGACGCATATTCTAAGAACTAACGTTGCCTGTTAGTGTTATTAGAAAGAAATAAAACATGAACTCGATTTTAGAGATTAAATTAATTTTTAAAAATTGATAATACATTGAACTAATTAAATAAAAAACCAAAATAATAATTAAGTCTAATTTAAAACAACACTGTCATATTTAAAACATAAAATACTGAAATGTAAATCAAATCTTGTGGATATATAATAGGCTCACATTATACAAGGCTCTCTATGATTATGCTCAAACATAACAAATTCAAACCAGCAAGAAAAAACACACCGGTGTTTTTAATCCTATATCTCTAAGATTAACACTAGAATTTCATCAACCTTTGAAACTTCTAGCGGAGTTATGAATATATTGTAATATTCAACAAACAAACAAACAAAAAAGAAGCAGAAAATTGATTCAGAAATTTACATGGACACCAAAATATATGAATATGCAGGACACACCGTTTTCTACAAAAAGATAAAACAGTCCAAGGAGATAAGAGGGTTGTTAATATCCTCCATCAGTGTTAAGTCCATGTCCTGGTCAGACACCACATCCTTAACCACGGTTTCATCAACTTTAGAACCAACCCCGAAAGTGCATGTCTCATTGTGCTTTAAACCAGCAGAATGAAGTACTCTTCGTGAACAGTTACTGGGACTCGCAGCTTTAACACTCTCTTTCCTCGTTAAAGGCACCCCGGAATGATGAGAATGAAGTGCACGAACACTAACTTTCGAATTGTTCACCATTCGCCTAGAAACAACGTTGTCCGTCGCCAAATTACCACTCCCACATTTGTCTCCATTATATCTTCTGCTCGGAGAGGGTGACCCTAGCGTCCTACTGTGCAGGTTGGAAGCATAGTTAATAGTAATGGACCTCTCCGTGTCCTTTCGGAAACTCTTCTGTCTGGTCAGATTCGTTGGCGAGTTTGAGCGAACCCTCTTCTGGGGCATAGAAAACGATTGTGGTGGTGGAGATTGCTTCAGGGTTACCAAGTTGGGTCTGGGAGGTGGTGATGGGTTTATGTTTGTAACCTTTCTATGTTGAGGTCTAGGTTTAGTTGGAGGCGTCAAGGAGAGAGAGGCATCCCTGAGTGAGTTGATGCGAGTGATGTGAGGGTTGTCCTTGTAGCACGACCATAGGAAGTCGTTGGAGAAGGATCTGTCCTTGGAGCTCAAGGAGGAGGAAGCGGTGGATAGGGAAGAGGCTGAGGAGATGGTGTTGGAAGTGGTGCATGTGAAGGAGGAAATGGAGGAAGTGGAAGAGGTCGGAGAAGGAGGGGAGGGTGAGATTTTGGTTGAGGAGTAAAGGGTGGGAAGCGGAGGAGGAAGTTTGTCTTGAACGAGGTTGAAGTTGAAGTGGTTTTGAAGTTGTTCTGGGGAGGGTTTGCAGTCGGGCCTGCATTTGCTAACGCAGCAACCCATTTGGTTGAGAAATGAAAAAGTAGGATTGGTATGAGGAGGAGGAGGAAGAAGAAGGGGAGTGAGTGGTTTAAGTTTGATATAGTAGCATTGGAAGTTGCATTTGAAAAAGGAGGGGAAAGTGAGGGAATGAATTTTCTTTTGCTTTTGGTGTTGATCTTTTGCTTTTCAGAGTGTTTATTTGAATTTGGGTACCGGGGACTGGTTCCGTTGGGTAACGGTTACATACCAACATGGTTGTGGATAGTGGATACTATCATATTATTACTCCTTGCTTTTGACCTTTGTGATATATGGAAGAAATGGTAGGGTCTTACTCTTCTTTGTGTGTAATGCCACAACGTTAACTACTATTTCAGGTTAGAGCTCCGACCCAACAAGGAATCATTCGATTTTCTTCTGTTTCTTAGAATCCCTGCAAAGGTTTTAACCTCATGGCAAAACCGCCCATGAAATAAACGTATATATATGCTAAGTCCTTACTCATCATCATTTTTGTTCCATTTACATTTATGAATAATTGCTGCCCGTTACACCAGACCCTTGTACAAAGTACGTGTCATGACTTTTTGTTCCATTTCATTATCTTCTACTTTGCTTGTTTGGAGGTGTCAAAAGAAAAAAATAAAGGAAATAGGTAGGAGAAGAAAAATAGAATGAAAATAAAGATTGTTTAGGTGAAGGAAAATGTAAAAGCCATGGATAGAAAATATATTCATAGATTGTGGCTGAAGAAAAAAAAATTGTTCAAAATATTTTGTGTTAAGTGTGTATTTAACAATGTGTAAATTTAGGAAAACAATAATTTAAAAAAAAATGATAGAAAAATAATACTATTTGCTTTGCCAAAACCTTGACCACCCAATTGGAATTTTACACCAAGTTGAAAAAATAAAATAAATGAAAAGGATTCCATTTTCTACTGTGGAATAATAAGAATTTGGGAAGTAAGAAAAATGTTTAGTAATTTTGGTGTAAACTCATTAAGTAAGAGTAATATTATTTCCACGAAAAAAATTACAATAACTTTTACATTATTTTTTATTATCTTAATTCTCTTATATATTTTTTTCATTTCTTTTCTCTTCATAGAAATATAAATATAAATTATATTAATTGATAAACTACTGGAAAGATATTCCACTAATTACTTATAAATGTTTAACTTAATTTTGTAAATGTTTATGTTACTTTAGGAATGAGAATGTTATATTTATTTTTGTCTACTTTCCATTATAATATCTGAAATAATAGGTTAAGAGGGAGGATATATATATTTTTTATAAATTATAATAAGTATTTAATCATTATTTTTACCAAATTATAAATTATGCAAGAATCATTAACTGCGACTGGATAGTCTTAAGAACAATATTATTTGTTAGTTTTGTTGATTATACAAGTCTAAAAATATATTAAAATAATAATAATAGATGGATATGTATTGATAACTGTACTAGTATTTTATATTTTTATAAATAAATAATGTTTTTAATAATACAATGAATACAATATATTAATTCAAATAGAAGTAAATACCTGGATTATAATAAATGTAATAAATATTTTTTCTGTATGTGATCATAATAAATTTAATTTAATTGTTTACGTAACTAAACTATATAATACTTGATTTAATAAAATAAACAATTTATAACTATTATTTCATATATTTCATGTAACTCTTAATTATAGATTGAATGCACACAACATTAAAAAAAAAATCTACTTATTTGGTTTATGTGTGTACTAAAGTTGGTTAAGGAAACTTTTGTACTTTATAAATTAAGAAGGTAGAGGTTTTAAAAATGTGCGTCATCCACACACGTTTTAAAAATGATAAATAAAATTGTAATAAACTATGAATGAATTTTTAAAGATGGAGGGAAACGCGTGTATTAATTCTTACATAGTCAAACAGATGGTGAGGGCGAAGCATGAATGTGCTGTGACAGCACAAAACACTTGTGTTTCTTCTTATGGTCTAGTTTTCTACATTATCAGCTTCGGCATCAAAACATAATAGAATCAAATCAAAACTATGAGCTGCAAAACTTTTATCTTTCTTCTCATATCCTCTCTCAGCCACTCCAAAGTCGAGTTTATGGAATCAAAAATATGTCAGGAATCCCACCTCAAGACAACCAGATTCCCAAAAAAAAAAAGTTAAAAGCAATGTTTTTAATACTTTATTTGACTATCTTCCACCACTTATGCTTCTTTTACAAACACATTGTTGGTCTAGCTTAATTTGGATTTCTTTAAACTAAGATTTTAAGATCAAGTTTTCTGGGGTTTGGTCAACCAAATTTCAGAGAATAGCAGAAAATATGTTTTCAATCATTTGCAATTCAACCTACTTGAATTATTTTTGGCTTTCTGGGGTTTGGTTGGTCTCTTGGTTGCCCTACCCTTTGGATTTTGTGGATAGCCAGTCCTTCAATTAGGACTCTCTCTCCATTAATGTCATGGTGCAGTCCTCTGCTCTACACTAGTTTGTTTACATTGCAAACAGTAATATCACATTTTTATAATATTATTGGTCCAAATTCATCAAAATTTTCAACATATAAATTTTAATTTTATTAAGTATTTCGCCCCTAATTTTCATGAATTCTAATCAATTATGATAAAAAAAAACGTGTAAGTGAGTAGTGATTAACATTTTTTTTTCTTGTTCATTTTTTTTGAGTGGTCATTTTATTTATGGACAAGATGGAACTAATAATATTTATTTAAGAAGTTATTATATTTACTTGTTAAATGAACCGAACCTATTTATTTAATGTTGAACATTGACGAGGTTTGAGAATCTCGAAGAAGCGTGATTTCATTTCAGTAAAACAACAAGCTTATTTTTCTTTCCCGAACAACGGAATAACCAACAGAAAACATTTGCAAACATTAGTGTACTAAATTATTGAACTCAGTCCCAATGATGTGATACAAATTACATAAATAACTCTTATTCATTACTCAAACATCAACCAGTGATATAACAACAATTCTTATTATTAATATGTTCCTAGCAAGCTCTGCTTTTTCCGTTTTCCAGTTGCGAAGAGAAGCAAGCCTTAGTTTCCATAATTGGCTGCAACAAATGAAACAAAAGCATGAACATAGTTACATAACTGCAAAAAGCAAACTAAAATGATTACCTTGCTCATAGAGAGGCTTGGTCTTGGTCTAGGTCTTGTTTTTGAAGCACTTGTGAGAGATGCAGTGGATGAAACAAGTACACATTCTTTTCTTGACACAAACTCGCTTGGCGGGGATGACAGTTGCTTCCCTGGGTTTGGGAGAGGACCCTGTTTTACTATGAACGATGATTTTGTCCTTTGGCTCAGGTTCCACGTTGATGTCATCAAACTCTACAACCCCTTCGCAGCACAACTTCAACCCTCTCATTTCCACCCAAAACAGGGATCCACTCCTCTCTCAACTCAACTGGATTGAACAACACAACCCCACCCAACTCTTGGGAGTTAATTAAATAGCATCAACTTTTATTAAATAATTATTTGTTTCAAAACCAAATATCAATATGAATGGGGTTACAACTTAGAGGCAAAATCTTATTTTTCATGCCAGTACATTTCCTTTAATCTCTTAGTTCTTCTGTACCTTTATAATATGTTTAAGGAAGTTTAAATCTAAAATATTCAGCTGTTCAAAAAAAATTGTTTATAAAATAAATTTTGTATTTGACACAATAGTTTCAATTTATACAAATAAAGCTCTTTATGAAAAAAAATTGTAATTAATTATTTTGTAATAATTTTTTTCTTTTCGGCTTCAAACACTTTTTTTTTATGTTCTTTTTATTCAAACAAAACTTATTATCTTAAGACCATTTTTTAATAAACGTAAGCCAATTAAATTTCATTATAATATAATATATTTTTAAATAATTTAATTTTCTCAATTTCCTAAAAGAACTATTTTATCTAAAAATAGAGTAAATAAAATATTCTTAAATTTGTATTATACGTGACAAACTTAATTTAATAAATCCCCACCCATGAAAATTATGACAATTTGTGATTACTTGGACGGAATGAATCGCCACTAATGGAAATTATGACGATGGACGTAATGAAAAGCATGACATGTAGCAGCTGATGTCAATTATTAACTTTGAGGGGGAGATTGGAAGAAGAATATATCTTTAGAAAACAAAACGTTGTAACAATGAAGAATCAACCTCAAGTACATCCCATTTTTTTTCATCTTCCAAAACATACATCTTTTTATGCTTTAACACTTCCAGAACATATACTTCTTTATTATTATTATTATTATTATTATTATTATCTTATGTTATGCAATTAAAAGTTGTAGTCGAATAGTTTAATATTATAAAAGAATACGAATTACTTTAGGTTTGTGGATGTCTTTTCATATGTATTACTCAAAATTTTCATGGGTTGATTTCCTTCCCTAAATGGATGGTTCCTTATCTACTTTTTCTTGGTGTTATTCAGTTTCTTATATGTCAATTTATTAAACTTTCTAATCACTTCAAATAACTTTCCTATAATTGAAACAACAATTATTATAACATTTAACCAACTTAACATGTACTTGTGATTCATATAATTAATACATGCAATATATATTATTATTTGATCATGATGTAGACCTATATGCAAAAGCACCCTCTAATATATTATAATATAGTCATAGTACAAAATAAAATTACATAAAAATAATTTAAAATTATTATTTTTTAAAGTTTTATGTTTTGAGTTGTCAAAATATATTTTTCTATATTATTTTTCAAACTATTCATGTTTTTAAATATTTTTATTACTCTGTTTAAACAATCATAAAAAGAACACAAGAAACAAATATATATTTATAATTTAAAATACCATGTTATTGACAAATTATTCATTAATTAAAAGTCATAGATTTTTATATATCTATGTTTTAAAAAAATATTATTTATTAACTCAAAATATTAAATAGAGATGTTCTATTTATCTAATCAATTCAATTCAAGTCTCATATCTATTATGATAATATTATTAAAGTTAATTTTATATTTAAAATATTATTTATTTTAAAAAATTTATCTATCATAATTTTATTATTAAAAAATATCTATATATGTTGAAAAGAAAAAAATATATATAATTTATTACGATTTTGACTATGAAAACTGATGAGTAAGCATATGGACGAAACTGAGATATGCATTGAAAAAAAAATTCATACTTACATCATATACCTATTACCTACCAAAAACAAAGAATTAAGAAATAAAGCAATTCAAATCATAGATTTTGTTGCATTAATGAGAATAAACTTTATATTCGGTATATGCGTTGGGTTCTTTTCTCAGGCCCAATTAGCCCAATTGAGAAGGGTCCAACAAATGTCAAAAGAGGTTAAAATCCCTGGACTAATCCCACCGACGGGTTCAGATTAGGTTACAACTTTAAAGTTTCCTTAGCTATTTGATTTTTGTTGTGTTACACTTCTATCAAAGGTTTTTTTAAATAATTAAAGATAAATAATTATTAATATTATATATAAATTACATATTTTTTTACCCAAATTGCATAAACAAGTTAGAATAAGATTGAGTTCCAAAATAATCAATTTAAAATATATTTTTAAATTAATTTTTTCAAAAACGCATTTCAGACTAGTATTATAGTGGGTGAGATATATTTCTAAAAATTAATTGTAAAAATATGGATCTAAAATATATTTTCACAAAATCATTTTGATAAATATATTTTAAAAACTACGTTATGGAAATTTCAGAAAATTAATTTGTTACATAAACATTATACATGTAAAAATTTGAAAAAAAAAAGTTAGATATTCTGGCCTGTCTCTCGAAATTTTTGAAAGAATAGAAGATGAAAGAACGAAGATGTTGTAATAGGGTTTAAAAATTAGTTCTTAAACAAAATAAAAAATAAATACCGATAAAAGATTAAATATGAATACATGTGTAAGGATAAAATAAAATTTAAATTAATTATGGGTTACCGGACACAGTTTTCCCTTTTAATCCGTGACAGCTAAGTTAATCTGCAATCTACCTAAAAAATAATTATAAAGATAACTTCTACTTAAAATTATTATTCTTTAATTTATAGCATATTATATTAAAACTTATGAATCATATATTTCATGGACAAAAGTTATCTTAAAATTTTGAAATTGACCAGAATTAAAGAATGAGTTAGTGTGATATTTTAAAATTTTAATTTTTTATAAATCATGTCATATGTGAAATATTAATTCTTAATTATGGAATTTTAATTTTCATATATTATGTTTTTTTAAGTATAATAATTAATTTTCTTAATTTTAATTATTTTTAAAACAAAATATAATTTGTCTCACAACATTCTTTAAACATTTGTTTCAACCAGATGATAGAAACGGAAGCAGTAAATAGTAAGATTGTTTAAATTAATAAAAAATATATAAAAGTGAATAAAAATTTATAGATAATAAATTGATTTATTAGAAATAAAAATAATTAATAAAAAGATTTTTTATTAAGTTAATATTATTTTTTATTTATTTTCTAAAATATAAACGTATAAGAAAAAAATGGGTACAAAAAATATATTGTACTTCTTAAAAAAAAACAATTAATTCAATCGATTATATTAAAAATATAATTAATTATAGCATCATAATACACATAAGATAAAATATTTTTTAATCATAGTTATGACTTTTTACGTGAAGGTGTATTTTGTTTTAAATTTTATTAAAATGACTAAAATTTAAAAAAATTATAAATTTCAAAATAAGCCATATTCCAAAAATTTCAGTCTTTAATTTTTTTAATCATACTACTTCTACCACATAATTATATAGTCCGATTTTGAATTTTTATATTAAAATAATTATTACTATATTAATAATAGTAAAATAATAATAATAATAATAATAATATTAAAATTTATATTATTATTAAAATTATTAATTATTTTATAACTTTTATTAATACTATTTTATTATTATTATTAATATTAAATTAAAATTATTTATTATCTTATAAATGTTATTCTTATTTTATAATGAATAATAGAATATTATTATTATTATTATTATTATTGAGAGAAAAAAAAGTTGTAAAAAAGAAAAAGGAAAAATACATTTAATTATTATATATAAAAAATGTTTTTTTTTTTATGATTCGTAATTTTGTGGTCAAGATTCAAATGTACACGCATTTGTATAATCTGCAATTTGTTCGTTAGAACCCAAAGCAAAGCTAAAATTATATCTCTTCTCAACAAAGTTAAAACAAACCAACCTAGACACAAGATGGTTGACTTGTTTAATATTGCTGAAAATCAATGCCCATCAATTTTCTCATGAAACCAAAGACTTTAGCTACCAAATTAAAGAGAAGTTTACGCATACACTACTACAAAATATACTTTCTACGTTGTTATTTAACGTCGGTTATAGCAGAGACGACGTAAAAAGTACTTTCCACGTCGGTTCTCAGATGAATCGACGTTGAAATTGAATATTAAACACATTCTACGTCGGTTCTTAGTTCCCATATGAACCGACGTTGAAAGTCTTTTTTTTATTTTTATTTTTTACTTATTGATAGCGGTTATAAGGGAACCGCTATCTAATATACACTTTAGATAGCGGTTATAAGGGAACCGCTATCTAATATACACTTTAGATAGCGGTTATAAGGGAACCGCTATTATATCCTCTCAATTATGATCGATCATTTCAAGTTATGATCGATCAGAATCTTATTCGCTCGAGCGAGAGTAGTGTCGCTCAAGCGAAATACAACCCGAGAATGCTAATTTTGTGCAGGGGGCGTTTCGCTCGAGCGAGAAGGGTGTCGCTCAAGCGAGATACATTTTAGATAGCGGTTACACAGGAACCGCTCTTAAAAGCTCACTTAGATAGCGGTTAACCTGGAACCGCTATTATATTGTTTCAATTATGATCGATCAGAATGCGGTTATGACCGATCGAACTATTTTAATCGATTAAATCTCGTTTCAATCGATTAAAACAATTTACACAAGCGTTTTAATCGATTAAAACTTATTTTTATCAGTTAAAATTACTTGAAAAGTTTTACGAGAAAGTTTTGCAGTATTTCAATCGATTGAATCGCGAAACAATCGATTAAATCAACTTAGAAGATTTTTTGTAAAGTGTTTTAATTGATATAAACGTTGTCGTATGTATCAGTTAAAACAAATCTGTTAAAGAATCAAGAACGTATTAATGGATTAAAAGAAGTTTTAACAGATTAAAACTGCACTTTTAACAGATTAAAAGAATCTTTTAACAGATTAATTAAACCAGCAGTTTTGAAAATCTTCTATAAAAACAGTTTGGCTTGAACTTTTTTAACATACATTGAATATATCATCTTTTACACATCC